ACTTTATCCAGCAAAGCTATCATTCAGAAGTAAAGGCAATATAAAGAGCTTCACAGATAAGGAAAAGCTAAAGGAGTTCATCACCACCAAACCAGTATTAATGAAATGCTGAATGGTATTCTTTAAAAAGAGGAAGAAGAAAAAGGTAAAGATAAAAATTATGAAAAACAAAGTGACAACAAATACATATCTATCAACAAGTGAATCTAAAAATAAAGTGAATAAAAAATATAATGAACAGAATAAATGGGTGAATATAATAGAATCAGGGGCATAGAAAGGGAGTGGACTGACAATTCTCGGGGGGAAGAAGGTGTGGAGGGTGCAGGAAGAGACTGGCCAAGAATTGAACACCTATGGACGAGGACAGTGGGGGGACTCATTGTTATGGGGTGGGGTGGGAACCAGGTGGAGGGGAGCTATGGGGAGAAAAAAGAGGAACAACTGTAATAATCTGAACAATAATGACTTATTTTTGAAAAAAAGAAAAAAATAGAAAAATGGAATTGAGGAAGATACGAATAAGTGGAAACAGATACCATGTACATTGATAGGCAGAATTAACATCATTAAAATGTCCCTACTACCCAGAGGAATCTACAGATTGAACGCAATCCCTATTAAAAGACCAGTGGCATATTTCACAGATCTAAAACAATATCCCAGAAATTTATATGGAACCAAAAAAGACCATGAATAACGTCAGCAATCTTGAGAAAGAAGAACAAAGTTGAAAGAGTCACAATACCAGGTATCAAACTATACTATAAAGCTATTGTAATCAAAATACGTAGTTTATTACTGGCACAGAAACAGGCATATAGACCAATGGAATAGAACAGAGACCCCAGAAATTTACCCATACCAATATGGTCAATATTTGACAAAGGAGGCAAGAGCATACAATGGAATAAAGATAGTCTCTCCATCCTAACCAGTTTGGCTCAGTGGATAGAACGTTGGCCTGTGGACTGAAAGGTCCCAGGTTCGATTCCGGTCAAGGGCATGAACCTTGGTTGTGTGCACATCCCCAGTGTGGGGTGTGCAGGAGGCAGCTGATCAATGTTTCTCTCTCGTCGATGTTTCTAACTCTATCCCTTCCCCTTCCTCTCTGTAAAAAATCAATAAAAATATATTAAACAAAAAAAAGATAGTCTCTTCAATAAATGGCATTGGGAAAATTGCCCAGATACATGCAAAAAAATGAAACTAGACCACCAACTTAGATCATACAGTGGGGAGTGTGCAGGAGGCAGCTAATCGATGTTTCTCTCTCATCGATGTTTCTAACTCTCTATCTCTCTCCTTTCCTCTCTGTAAAAATCAATAAAATATATTTAAAAAAAAAAAAATGAGTCAAAGACTTAAATGTAAGCCTTAAATGTCATAGCACATGGACTTAAATCTCATATATTGGTTTACTTTTCACTTGTTTTCATGGGTCTTTAATATCTGGTTTTAAATTTTTAGATAGTATACTAGGTACACTTACCTTAATTACCCCAGAAATTTTAAGTAAATAAATTTTTATTTTAAATAATTCAGTATTTTTGAAACATATAATAGAGTATGATAATTTCATTAGGGAAGAGAACAATAAAATATAGCCTAAGTATCAGTAATTAGCTGTCTGACAAGCCTATGAAACATAATACTGCGCAATTTTGAATGATTTTTTTGAAACACAAACACTTTTTAATTTAATACCTTCAATTCTTGATTGCTAAACTCTAAATAAACAAAACATCACAAATTTCTCATTAAAAATGTTTTGTTCCTTAGGCCAGGTTCTGTTGTGCCTACTAATCTGTTTCAAGGAATTAAAACTGTAAATCCAACTTTTCGGGGGTATTCTCAGCAGGTAAGTCTTCATTGCTTTTCATAATATTCATCTTTAATAAATTTGCAACATGCCATTATGTATTATGCTATTATGTGGTCATTTGTATTTCTTCCTATATAATTTATTTGTTCATTTATTTTTTTATTACTTTTCTCTCATGTCTTTATTTAACAAGAATAATTTATCTTATTTTCTTCTTATATTTTTCTATCCTTAATTTTCTATATTCCTAGAAATTTTGAGTTTTGGGGTGGGTAAACCTATATATATAAAAGGCTAAGTAACTGACCATCCATCCATCTGACTGACTGACCAGCCAGTACATATGATGCGACTGGCAATTTAAAAATAAATGTTGACTCACGCATGCACGATACATATAAAGCTCTTGCTGGCACCAATCCAGACAGAGTAGGAATATTCCTACCTGAACTTGTTTTCAGACATGGTCAGTTATATGTTGCTTTCTCTCGAGTTCAAAGAGCATGTGTCATTAAAGTTATAAATACTTCATCACAAGGGAATTAGTCAAGCACTATTAATGTGTTTTTAGTCTTAATGTGGTATACAGTGAGATATTAGAATAAGTTTAATCAATTTATCAGTCATTGTTTTTATCAATGTTTTTATATCATGTTTTTGTTTTTATATCATGTCTTTGTTATATTGTTATTGTTTTTAATCAATTTATATATTATTTTCATATACATTTTACTAATTTTCATCTCTGACACTTCTATTATAGAGAAAGGGCAAATAGTGATATTAAAATATTTCTAATTAATTTTCTTTCAATGTGCATGAATCCGTGCACTAGGCCACTAATGTCAATAATTCTAGTGCTTTTAACTTTGAAAAGTTCTACATCAGAGATAAATTTTCATCTATGCTTTCTATATTTTATGCTTTCATTTTTGAAAAATGTAATTTTTCAATACATATTATTTCATATTACAATATGATTCACATATTAATTTTTACAAAAAGCTAACAGTACCAAACTGTAAATTTAAGACTTAAAAAATATGATTTAAAAAATCTCTATTTTTTTTGTGTGCTTACATTAATATATAAAATAGGATCTGTTTCTGGGCTTCCTACTCTGTTTCATTTACCTATATTTTTTTGTATTAGTACTAATGGTAGTTTCAATTATTGTAGTTTATATAATATCTTTTAGTAGTCATACCTGGCCCTAACATTTTTCTTTTTCAAAACAATACCTATTCCCTGTTAATTTTTTCTTGTGCAAATTCCTGGATCACCAGAGACTGTGATTTTGTAGATACGATTTGGGGCTTACAAATTTGTATTTTTAGTAAGCATTTCAGGTTGATTAAAGATTTCTCTTTAAGATATAGTACAAAATTGGATAAAGCTTTAATTTTAAGTTAAAGTATTTGAATTTAGGACATCTCTCTGAATAGTCACACGAAGCAAATCCAGGTTTTCTTTATACCTTACTCCTCCACTTTTTAAAAATAGCAGCACTACTAAAAGCTGACCTCCAGATCATCTTCAGTTTTATAATTACTTTTGTTTCATTTACATAACTTTTTACGATTTGGTGCTTCCCATCCCTCCAATGCTTTATGTTCTATGAAGTTGTATTTCCTCAGTATAATGCTACACATTTAGTTGATAACAGTTGACAACCACATTCTGTATATTTTTCCTTAAGTTTCTACACGCATACACATATTTTTCATGAAGTGGTAATATCTACTTTGCTTTTACATTAGGATGCTCAAGAATTCCTTCGATGTTTAATGGATCTGCTTCATGAAGAACTGAAAGAACAGGTCATGGAAGTAGAAGAAGATCCTCAAACGATAATGACTGAGGAGACCATGGAAGAAGACAAGAGCCAGTCAGATGTAGATTTTCAGTCTTGTGAATCTTGTAGCGGCAGTGATAAAGCTGAAAATGATAATGGCTCTAGAGGCTTTTCTGAAGATAATAATGAGACAACAATGTTAATTCAGGATGATGAGAATAATTCAGAAATGTCAAAAGATTGGCAAAAAGAGAAGATGTGTAATAAGATTAATAAAGTAAATTCTGAAGGAGAATTAGATAAAGATAAAGACACTATGTCTGAAACAGACGATTTGAACAACCAGGAAACGGTTAAAGTGCAAATACATGGCAGAGCTTCAGGTAACAATTTTAATAATTTGAAAATAGTAGTGTTTCATTGGTACACAGGGAAAATTAGCATGGCATGTGACTAAAATCAAAATAATTATTTACATATTAATGTTCACAGTTTGTATTTAGCAAAGTAAGAATGAAATAGGATGATTAATAATTTTAGCTTAATATTTTGTGTGTAGTATATGACATAGTTCAACCATACTAACTTGCAGAAAAGGGGAATTAAATAGTTATGTTTGGACTTTTTAAGTAGTAGAATTTAGCAGTATATGCATGTATGTGAGTGTTAAGTTTAAGTCATTTTAAGCAGATTCTGTTAAGATCCTGGGAAAAAGCAAAGTAATCCAGCTGCAGTTTTGTAAACATATTCACTGTTACATTTAGGTTGCTGTTACTAGAATCTCATCAGTTCCGAAATATTTTATATATGTGTTGTTAGTGTAGGACTTGAACTATAATGAGCCTTGTGTGATACATTCTAATACTAGTCAGTGTTCCTTTGAGAAAGAGCCAAGGGTCAAATGAAAGATGTTGATCTAGATCTCTTTGTATTTTACATTTATTTCTTCAGAAGTTAACTTATCTTGGCTTAGTGTGGTATTTAGTTCTCCAAAGCACATAAAATTAAACCATCAGAGGTTCAAAGTTTTTCTGATCTTAAAATGAGTGTCAGACAAGTAACAAAAATAATTTATTCTGTAATTACTGAAGAGTGAAAACCACTATACAATTTATTTAGGTACTTGAAAGAACCCAAAATTCCTTCTTAAGTTGTTCACCTCTGTATAGTGCATACATGCCTTCTAATCAGGAAAACTTATTAGATTCCTTAAGTATACTGCCCTTATATTTAGAAGTTGAATAGTTAATACATTGGAAGACTTAGCTTAGATGCTGTCCAGCCCTTGTAAAAAGTCTGGTTAAGGAACATACTCATTCTTTATTGCTTTTCTTATACATAGTAACTAATTGGTGACCTAGAATAGGGATATGAGCTTTTACATTTTTTTAAAATATATTTTATTGATTTTTTACAGAGAGGAAGGGAGAGAGATAGAGAGTCAGAAACATCGATGAGAGAGAAACATTGAACAGCAGCCTCCTGCACATCTCCTACTGGGGATGTGCCCGCAACCCAGGTACATGCCCTTGACTGGAATCGACCCTGGGACCTTTCAGTCCGCAGGCCGAAGCGCTATCCACTGAGCCAAACCGGTTTTGGCAGCTTTTACATTTCTTATTTTTATTTACTGACCGGAATCGAATCCGGGACTCTTCAGTCCGCAGGCTGACGCTCAATCCAGTGAGCCAAACCGGCCAGGGCAGCTTTTACATTTTTTAAAGACATGATTTAAAATGTGACAAAGACCAAATGTGGCACACAAAACCTAAAATACTTACTCTCTGACCCTTTACAGGAAACATTTGCCAATTCTTGATCTAGATCATAGTAGCTTTATTCCCTTCAGAAAGGAGTGAGTCTCTTCGCTTCTTTCCCTCCAAATTTATGCAGTCTGCTTTTAGTCATGCTGGACATAATGAGAAATGCTTATGTGAAAGTAATTTATTTTGCATTATTCAGAAAAATCCCTGAAGTTGTTCTGTTTCAGGGTCTCTTAGGAACAATTCTCTTTTCTTAAGTAAATACTTACTGAGCACAGTCCCTTACTTGAATGCATGTTATGTATTGAGACTCCAACAGCAGCTATTGACATAGTGCTCATGGAGCTTATTTTTTCTTGATTTATAATTTAATTCCAAAAAAGGTCCTTTCCTGACAAAGGGGTCAATTTTATTTTATCACAGTAAGAATAAAATAATTTATAATGATTTTATGCCTAAATTTCTTACTAGATTTTGATTACGATGTTAATTTGGAGAGATAATCTTTTTCCCCCCACACTGTTTTAACAGCTATTTTTTAAAAAACTGTCCTAAATATCTTTTTTTAAATAATAAATTAGGACAAATATGATTCTCTTTGGCTTTATATTTCCACTGTTTACTTCCTGAATGTCTACAGTAGTAATGTGTTAAAAGCATTAATTGTATTCCTAGGGAGGAAATCACTGTTACTTCCCTTAGCATTTTATCTATCAAGTATTTCACTCTACATTTATTAATGTGAATTGTGTTCAAAATCTCAAATGAAGAAACCTTTAACATAATTAACATTATTTGACAGGTAGAATAATTTTACTATTTAAAGTTATGACAAATTTTTAATATTACAGAATATATTACCGATGTCCATTTGAATGACCTGTCTACACCACAGATCCTTCCATCAAATGAAGGTGTTAATCCACGTTTATCAGCAAGCCCTCCAAAATCAGGCAGTTTGTGGCCAGGATTGGCATCCACACAAAAAAGAGGTAGATGTTTCAGTTTCTCAGGCTACTTTGTTTTGACCATTTAAAGTATTAATTATGAAATATTAATCATTCCTTTAAAATTGACAGCATAATTTTACACAACCATGATTTAAATTTTTTTTGTATGTGTGGCACAAATTTATATACAATAGAATTCACTCTTGGTATAGAGTCCTGAGTTTTAATACATGAATAGATTCTTGTTACCACTACCACAAACAGAATATAGAACAGTTCCAACATCCCAAAGAATTCCCTTGTACTACTGCTTGTAATCAGACTCTCCTACCCCTAACCCCTTTCTAATCACTAGTTCTATTGCTCTGTCCTCTATTCTTATTGTTTTGCCTTTTCCAGAATATCATATAAATGGAATCATACAGTATGTAGTCTTTTGAGATAGATTTTTTTCACTCAGTATAATGCATTTGAGATAAAAGTTACATTGCATGTCTGAATAGTTCCTTTTTATTACTCATTGTATGACTATACTACTCTTTATTCATTCACTCATTGAAGGACATTTGAATTGCTTCCTGTTTTTAGCAATTATGAATAATGCTATAAACATTTGTGTATAGGTTTCTCTATGAACGTAAGTTTTCATTTGTCCAGAGTAAACACCTAGAAGTGGGATTATAAGGTTTTATGCTTTAAGTCATATTAAGTTGTTTTTAAGAGCGGCTGTATCATTTGCATTTGCCAGCTATG